AGAAACCATCTGATTTATAGCCACGTGCGATTGCATTGTTTGTGTATAGCCCTAACCCTGGAGACTAGGTCAGCTTCTTTGTTCTTCAATGCGATATAGGATGAAGCGATACATAGCTTCCACTCATCAATAGGATCTGATCCTTTGATCAATAGGATTCGGTTTACAATAGGATTATCTACTCAAATAGGATTCCCGCATCCCTCGCCCTGATACTTATACCCTAATTCTCATGCTTCCTTCTTTCCCTCTCTCTTCGTCCTTTCTTGATCCTGCTGTTCTCGAATCTCTAAAGATCCTTTCTGCGTCTTTGTTCTCTATTCCCCTCTTGTTCATCTTCCCCCAGTGCTACTCTTGTTCTTTCCCTATCCTTTTCTCATCTCCAGTCTCGTCGTCTTCTCTGTTACATCATTCATCTCCCTCTTTTCTCGAGTCGCTACGGTGATCCTTCTTTCTAATTTGACTCCTTACTTTTGGGCGGTGCCTAGGTGAGTTTTGATATAGTCATTGTCATCCCAGCAGTTTCCCACACTTTCCTCACTAGCATGTTCTGATTGCTCACACTCCTTCATATCTATTTCACATTACTCTCTCTGTCTCTCTTGTTCCATCTGCCTACTCAAAGACTGGCAACGAGCATTTAATCTCAAGCCAACTCACACATATAACACAATACTGACATCCACTAGTGACCGCAAACATGTCAACTGCCACTGTGATCGTTGATGCCTACGCTATCCTGGGAGTTGAGCGACATGCCAAACTCCCTGACATCAATATTGCTTACAAGCGTCTTGCCTTGAAGCTCCATCCAGACAAGGCTGGAAATTCTGCAACGACCATTGAGCGATTCAGAAAAGTATGTCTACAACACCAAGATGATGCTATACGAGGTTGTTGAATATCGCTGACAAGCCATTAAAAACAGATTCAAGATGCCGTCGAGGTTCTCCGTGACGAAGACCGTCGACGCTTACTTGATGAGGCCCTGCAAAAGAAGGCCAAGAGATATCTAGATCCCGAGGATGAAACACCAGCATGGGCTTACAAGGGCAACTACAATCGTCCGCCAAAGCGAGAACGCCATGGATATGATTCCAACTGGCCAAGCCAATGTAGCGAGTCAGCATCGAAATACAAGCCAAGGGATCGACGTCAGCACAGCCATAGCTACTACTACAGTTACGGAACAAGTGTGCACATGGACCCAGAGTCAGCCGAATCCAAGGCGAGACGTGCGCAATTTGAAGCAGAGAATGTCCAGTGGGAGAACGAATGGGCTGGCATTGATCCCGAAGTGCAGAAGGCACGGGCAGAGCTCCGCAGGGAAAACATGCGGGCTCGAATGAAACGTGATCTAGCAGATATGGCGAAGGATCACGATGGAGATACCAAATATGCCGATATCGTTGATAATGTTATCGAAGGAGCTTTAGACGATCTCGAATTTGGCTACGAGCATGATTTCGTGCATGCCCTGCCTGAGGAGAACATCAAGACCTGCAATCCTGCCGACACATTTGACACGTTTGCCTACGAATACTCCAGAAAGCTCCGATCCGATGACGAGTATCCAGTTCACTCTGATTGTGCTTCTATTGCTAGCAACGATTCGCCCTTTGGCCTCTCAACAAGTAGCAACTCCAGCAACTTCACCGATTCGCCCTTTGGCTTCTCAACAAGTAGCAATTCCACCAGCTTCACTGACTCACCAAACAAGCACTCGAATTTCAAGTCCACCGTTGAGGATTTCGAATCTCCCACCGACGATCCCGAATCTGCCACTGACGATTCCAACTTTGATGTTGACAAACTGATCAACTCCTACATGGTGGGCCATGATTCGTTGCTCCCTCTAGTCTCATTCCTCAAGCAAAAGCTCGCGGACCCCCATGGACGCTACACCCCCAACGATCTTGCTGGTGAACTTAATGGCCTTATGCTGGAGATCTATTGTGGATGGTTGGAAGAAGTTCGTCTTTCAGTCCCGAATGCCTCGCCTATTACAATTGGGAACGATCCCAGCTTTTGCTCCCACCTTGGGTTATGGTACAAGGACTTCTGCCGTCCCATGTGCAGTGATTGCAACTTGTGGATGCCTTCATTCACCCTCACCTGCCCTGGCTGTGGCATCAAGGCCTGTGTCAGATGCAAGTTCACGAGCTACGGCCCTCTATTGGAGTCTGTTACGCAGGAGCAGTGATTGATCCATGTTGGGTCACATTTCCTTTTCTCTTTTGTTTGTTCGGTCTTTCGGGGGTGGTGGACTTTTCAATCTTCATTTTTTGTCTAAATTGAAAAAAGAAAAAAAAAGAGATCATAGCCAATATCATGGCCGATTATGCACCCGATAATCAATCGAGTTTATTGAATCCTGACCAAACGACCACTTCCTTCTCATGCACCTATCTTTTTTTGGTACGTAACTGATTTGCCTGTATATTCACTTCGGCTTCTAATTCTACCCTACGCGCCCTCACACAAAACGAAGCTTCCGTCTTTGTGTGCTTGATTTGACCGAAATAAAGGTATATAAATTACTTTTTAGTCACTTAATTCCTTCGTGCTCTCGTTTGAAACACTCCATATTCACCAATGGCCATTAACTCGGGTGCGAGGTGCGGTTTTGGTCGGTGACGCTGGGTAGCCCGTGATGGATACCCGAAACCCCAGAATCAGGGACAAATTCATACCCAAATCTATGATTCCATAGTATTGAAATCGTGTATCTTCTAGGCTAGCTCAAATTTTTTGCACCTCTTGGGTACTGCGCCCAGCTGTTGTGTAATAAGGAGGGGAAGACAATTGTGTCATAAATAATCGCTTCCTCTACCTAGTACCCATAGATTGGTACGGTGTAAAATTCGGTTCAGTACGGTTGCCATTGAACCAGCGAAATAGGGAGAGAGGTGTATGATAAATACAAAAGGAGATCAATATAGCCTTCGAGAAGGCAGAGGTGAATTGAAGAGTACCAACCCTTAGTTACATATAGAAAAGTCACTATACTGCATCTAAAGACATCTAAAAAGAACTTCCAAAATCACGTCTGTATGCTCTTATATATAACGTTTCTTATATCATCGGATTTGTAGGGTCATTGCGTCGTTAAGGAGAAAGGCCGCAGAAGTGGCCCAGTACGCTTGTTCTTCAATTCATCTATCAAACCGGTAAATCACTAGCTCTCGATTGCAATTCTCGCCCACCAGATATTTCTCACTACCAGCGAGCTTTCCTCTACCGACAAAATCCCAATTGTCACAAGTGACGCTCGAGCGAGGTGTCTGGATAGTCAAATAGATAGTCTGATCTTGGACCCACGTCCAAGGATCGAAGTGAAGACAAAAGCCAAGATCAGGCTCGAGTATAGCCACGTGAGCAATAACACCAAACCAAGGGTCCGTCATGATGCACCCATCTAGCCTCATACTCTCTGCTTGCATGCTGCAGTTCCCACGGTAAGGCGGTAGAATTCCGTCAAAATCCCGGCGCCGATGAGGCCCATTTCCGACCAGAGGAATGCTTGTAGTAATAGGCCGAGGAAAGCCAAATGGCTCCGGTGCTTCGTCTTCCGGCCAGATGCAAACGTTTTCTGTAATTTCGACCGCCTGTGAATCAACCGTAATCTCCAATCGTTGAATGCTTGGACAGCCTCGTTGCCGGATATCGAAGAACTCCAGGTCTCGGAATCCGAATCGTGCCACGATTGATGGAGAGTCAGGTGAGTCGTCTCTCAGCCGTCCAGTGGGATCCAATGAAGGTCGATATGATGATGGTTTCGATATGTCCCAGACAAACAAAGACTCAATGGGTGCATCTTCGTCGGCGGTATACAAGCTGCGATTTGGCTGCCATATATAAATGACATAGTGAGTGTTGCTATGCGAGGAGAAGAACCGATCTCGCTCGCTCAGCGGATGCCCTAAAAACATAATCTTCCATTCATTGCGCGGGACAATATTCCAGCCCTGGTTCTCACCCCTCGTCACATCAAAGGAAGACGCAAAGTGACGATGCACGCCATCACTATCATTCAGCCAGTGAAAGGCCTTCGGCTCAGCCCACTCAACGACGAGCAAGCTCTTCTGTAGCCGCACTCGACGAACAATCTTGCCACGAATAATGAACGGTACCGTGAACTGCCGGTCCGTTTCCAAATCCATGAGCACGAGGAATTGATGATCGGCGCTGGGGTAGACTAGCAGGCCATCCTCGAAAGTCCACAAAGCCTCAGAGAACTGGCGGTCAATGAAGCGCCTCATATGACTGGCGTGTGACTCCCATGGCTGCACCTGATACCATTCACGGTCTCCAGAGCTACCAAAGTCATCGCAGAGGCGGTACTTCTGGATAGAGCGGGGTTTGCCTCGTTTTAGGTAGTCGCATCGTGATGCAACCTGGTCGAAAAGACGACGACCTTGTTCTTGTTCTCCAGGAGATGTCTCTTGGCCCAGAATTTTGACTTCTTTTGTCCATGGGAAATGTTTCTTCAGGAGTGCGAGAAGGATGGCCGGGTTGCTAAAGGCTTCGTTCCAGGCACGTGAGACGCGGCGACAGCGGACTAGTTCATTTGGTTCTAAGTAGCCTAGAATCATCCAGAAGAGTTCGCGGGGTAGGAAGGCCAGGCCATGGCTCTCTTTTGGTCTAGCCATTGCTAGGTTGTGTTTATTGAAGAGAAAGGGAACTCGGAACTTATGGAGACGATTCTGTACAAGTCCACCGGATGCCAATCGAAGGAATCATTTAAACAGCGTGAAGACCTAGTTAATGTGACATGGGAAACATCATTACACTAATTCAAGATATATATACAGCATGCATATTGAGTGAGATATTTGCTACTCGAATATCTTCAGTACGGAGTACCTAGTAATCCTCCGCATGCCAAGAGCTTCAGGACACCTTGCGTTAATACTTCGGACCATCTGTCTTTTCTTTATTCCTCTTTGGCTTCTTTGGCTTCTTTGGTGAGTTTCATACCTGCTGTCAAATCACCAATTATGTTGCACAGTGCCAGTCTTTTGCTTGTCACGTCGCTCCTTGCGGCATTGCCTGTTAACGCCGATGGACTATACACCAAGAATTCGCCGGTGATCCAGTTGAATCCTAAAACCTACAACTCGCTTATTGCAAAATCAAACCATACCTCGGTGAGTGCCTATCGTCTTCCTAAATGCGCAAAATCGACTAATAGTTGCATAGATCGTCGAGTAAGCTTCTCCCGCACTCAAGCTATCTAGCTCTCTGCCTCCACCCTCCGACCTTCACTCACCTTTTCCACTTAGATTCTACGCGCCTTGGTGCGGCCATTGCAAGAACCTCAAACCCGCATTCGAAAAAGCCGCGAAAAACCTTGACGGACTCGCAAAAGTCGCCGCGATCAACTGCGACGATGACGAAAACAAAGCCTTCTGCGGACAGATGGGTGTCCAGGGCTTCCCGACCTTGAAAATAGTGACACCTTCCAAGAAGCCCGGAAAGCCCCGTGTTGAGGACTACCAAGGTGCGCGCAGCGCGAAAGGCATCGTCGACGCAGTCGTCGACCGCATCCCCAACCACGTGAAGCGCGCAACAGACAAGGACTTGGACAAATGGCTTGGACAAAACGAGGACCGGCCCAAGGCCATCCTCTTCACAGAGAAGGGTACAACTGGTGCTCTGATCCGCGCCCTGGCAGTTGACTTCCTCGGTGCAATTGACATCGCCCAAGTACGGAACAAAGAATCCGCCTCCGTGAAGAAGTTCGGCGTAACCGAGTTCCCGACGCTTGTTCTCGTCCCCAGCGCTGATACCGAGCACAAAATCTACACCGGCGACTTGAAGAAGAAGCCAATCACAGAATTCCTGAGCCAAGCGGCAACACCCAACCCAGACGCGTCCCCCGCTCCGCGTCCGACTCCAAGCCCAAGTCGAAACCGAAGTCCAAGCCCGCTTCCAAGCCTACCTCCATCGTCGACGACGCCGAGGACCTAAAACCCACCGCCTCCGAGAACCAGGACACAACAGACCCCTCCGCCAAGCCGATTCAAGTCCCTATCCCCGCACCCCCAATTCCAACCCTCTCTACCCCCGAATCCCTCGACTCAGCCTGTCTCGCATCAAAGTCCGGCACCTGTGTGCTAGTCATCCTCCCTGAGGCGAGCGAGCCCGACGCCGCGCTTCCAGCGCCTGCCACCGAGGCGCTCGCAAGCCTAGCTGAGATCGGTCACAAGCACGCCCAGCGCGGAACGCATCTCTTCCCGCTCTATGCCGTCCCTGCTATCAACACCAGGTCTCAGACTCTGCGTGAGGCATTGGCGTTAGCTGACGGTCAGACGGTTGAGATTATCACGTTGAATGCGCGTCGCGGATGGTGGCGTCGGTTCAGCGGCGCCGATGCGGACTTTGGGGCTGTTGCTATTGAGTCTTGGGTTGATGCCATTCGGTTGGGTGAGGGTGCTAAAGAGAAGTTACCTGAGGGTATTGTTGTCAATGATGAGGCTGAGGTTAAGCCTGAGGCGGAAGCTGAGGTTGAACCTGATGCTGAGACAGTCGAGGCTGAGGCTGAAACTAAGCCTGAGGCCGACGAACAGGCCGTGGAGCATGATGAGCTGTGATTATCTCAGTCCCTGGAAGAGGTCAATGCTAGTCTGATGACCTCTATCTAGTATTCAAAAATTTGAGAGTGAATCGCATAAGCTTATGTATCAAGCGGTTAAGGAATATTACATCTATCTCTAGGAACAATCAACTCATTGTAGGCATAATAAACATGATTCATATGTATGTACAAGAGACGGATATCCTGTGAAAACATGAACCTTGAAGAATACAGACAAATACTAGACACAAGCAAGTCTTTTTAGACCCAAGAAACCGAACACCGTACATTAATGCAAAAAGAAAACTGGTCAGAACCCAAATAATTCAGCGCTTTTTGCGGCCCTCGGTGCCCTTCTTGATCATCTTTTGTCTCTTCGAGTCAATCTCCTTGTCGTATATATCGCGCGCAGTCTCGACCTTCTTGCGCTTAGAGGACTTGGAACTGTCAGGTCCGTCACTGTGGGCTGGAAATCAGTTATTGTTGTTTCGATAGACAGACAAAGCGATTAAAACTTACGGATTAGATGCGCTCAGAGCGCGCTGTTTGGCGAGCATCTCCTTATCGATCTGTTTACCTCCTTCAAGAAGCTCATCCTCCAGACTGATGGGCAGAGGCTGAAGGCTGACTTCGGGCTCATCATCGTGAGCGGCAGAGGTCTCGATACGAACCTTCTGTGCGGGCAGAGATTGCTCGATATCGTTCTCGATGAGATTGCGGAAGTGGGTGGAAATCTTGCGGACAATCTTGAGGAACATAGCAAGGAGCTGAGAGGAGGGGAGGTTCAGCTCCTTCTCAAGGTCATCGAGGTTCTTGTGCTGCAAACCGATGGCGAGGAGAATGGATTGCTGCACGCCGGAGAGGCTGACCTTGCCATCGAGACGGTTTCCAAAGTAGTAGTCGGAGAGAGTAGGGACCAGGTCCAGGATGACGTGGTAGTCTAAGAGGTTGTTGGCGTAGCTATCTAGACGCTTGAGATCAAAGGGCGAGAAAGCGGCATCGAGGTCGGATTTCTGTAGCACGCGCGGCTTGAACTTCGGGTCCTTCTTGGCACCGGAGTTGGCAGACTCGCAGATGCTGAGGGAGAGGACAGACGGGAACTGCCCGAATTGGTAGGACATCAGCGAGAGGAATCGCTTGTGGAAGTCGCGCGCGTAGGCGCTCAACCAGGCGTCGTCAGTCTCGCCGGTGGAGAGGGTGCGAACCATCACGCAAGAGTGCTCTCCTGTGAGATCGTTGGGGGTCTGACGAAGATACACCGGGACAAAAGAACCGCGCTTCCAGAACTTGTGGAGGGATGGGGTAAGACCGTAGCTGACACCAATGTAGTCAAGGACATCAGGGCGACGTTCGGTCAGCTTGCCGAATAGCGGGGGCATGGAGCGAATGTCTCGGACATGGACGTTGTCATCCAAGAGGCTAGAACCGGCGAGCTCTTCGTCCGTAACACGGACCATTTGCTCTTCGGCGGTAGTGGCCTCCTCCTCCAAGTTGGTGAACTTGCCCTCGAAGAAGTCGACCAGAAGCTCCATAGCTCGGGAACCGTATCCCATACCCACATACTCGGGGTTAGTCGCTATACGGACAACACGAGCACCCGAGAGACTGGCGAAGTTCTCATCCTGGAACTGCTGGCTGACCAACCAGGGAATGAGATCACCTCCTGCGCGCTGGCCACGGCTCAAACTGTTGAGCACACTTTGGCGACTGATGCGACCCTCGAGAGCGACCTGAATGACGCAAAGTGGCTCGGGAAGCTTGGTGGCCCCCTCATCAATAGGCGGGACGAGCACATAGAGTTGATGAGCGGGTGCGTCACTCATAAGCTGAAGGTCGTTAGGTGTGTTCTTGTAGTGACTGGCAACATAGAGCGCCATCATCTGCTGCAAGAACTTCTCGGAGACAGGGTGGAAGGAGAATAGGGTATCACGGTTGACCTGAAGCAGCTGGCACTGCGAGGGGTGAGGGCAGCCTTGTGTGTTCATGTGCGACTTGGGAAGAGTTGCGTCAAGGCAGAGGACCTTATTCAGCCATTTCTCGACAGAATCACCCGGGGCATATCGAATGGGCTCTGTAAGAGTGATTTCTCTCAAGGTTCGGCCGCTGAGGTTCTTGTCGGCACCCTTGGCTGACTTGCCTGTGCTGCGGTCGGCGACGTCGGTGTCGTCTGTCTTGACTCCACTTCGAGATTGTTCCCGCAGTTGCTGAATCAACTTCAGAGATAGGGACCGGCCCGTGCCTTCGTATCCATTAATAGTGGAGGACATGAACACCAGGTAAGGTCCCATCAGCTTGCGCACCAATGGTAGAGGGATAGCTGCAGCCTCATCGATAACGAGAAGCTCTGCCTGTCCTAAGACTTGCGCATCCTGAGGCTGGATGTACTGGATGGTTTGACGGTGATTGCGGTGAATGTTCACGCGCACAACAGCCTTGTTGAAGTCGGGGTTTGTCGACTGCAAGATGGTGTAGTCAACATGGTCGAGATATCCAAGTGCATCGAAGCCCTTGAAAATGAACTCGAAGAGTGTCTTCAAGTTCTCTGGACTGGGAGAAGTGATGAAGATGTTGCTGTAGCCGTGAGCGACAGCCGCGGCGATGGCGACACCGAGAGCGGCGGACTTTCCTCGTCCACGACCGGCAGTCAGTGTAACAGTGCTCTTCAGCGTCTTTTCAGCGATTGCATCAACAAAGGTCAGAAGCGCCTTCGCTTGATCCACGGTGCGAGCCAAGTTGAGCAGAGGGCCCACGGGCTTCGAGTCCGCCAAGCTCTCCTTGATTTCCTTCAATTCCTTCTTCGTGCCAAAAGCTGACTCGTCCGTTGTTTCGGGGGCCGGGAGGGGCTTCACGGTCTTGCCGCCGGAGATGGGCAACACGTTCAACTCGTCGTCGACCACCAGACACGAATCGCAGCTTCCGAGGGACAGGATGAATCGCTCGTTGAATCGAGCTACAACATCATCGTGTGCTTCTGTTCGGTATCGCGAGTGAATATCCATGGACATGGTATAAAGTTGCTTCAAACTGGTCATGCTCTTCAAAAGCAGGATGACCAAACCTCCACCCTCGACGGTCTCGACGGTTCGTGCAAGCAAATTGGGAGTCATGGCCTCGAAGTCTTGTAACACACACATGCCATAGGTGTTACCCAAAATCTTCTCGGTTTCCTTGTAGTATACATAGCGGATCTGGTTGAGGGTGATGAAAAGTTCGAATGGGTCTTCTTGGTTCGGTTCGCGAATGCCACGCTTGACCTCCTTCTTAATCTTCATTTCGCGCTTCTTCCGGTGACTCGTAAAGCCAAGAAGGTCTTTCTTGTACGCCCAAAGTACCGATTTGTTCTGCTTCACGTCCACGCTGGACATGATATAGTGAAGATGCACGATCACATCTTTGGCATGGTCGCCAACAACCACGAAGAAGCTGCGCTTCTTCTCCTGCACACCATTCCGAATAAGAGCGGGAATCCGCGAGTCAATCGCCTTGCGGGGCATGGCGATTCAGGAGTAGTGTTGATTGGAAAAAACACCTAGCTTCGTCTTGCGACCAAAAAAACTTCCCAGCGGCTAAAAAAATGATACTGCTCTCTGATGCCGCCCGAGGTATACACCGCCTCCATCTTGATTATATAAGTATATCTTGTCACGTGGCTGTGATTTGCCAGGGTCACCCCAAAGAAGTAGGCGGTATATATCTGATGAGCTCTGCAGACCAGCCCTGCGCCCTTTCGGGCATATACAACATATGTTGTAGTCAATGAGAATATACAACGAAGACGCTTAATAAGAAAGCCATTTTCTAAGGTCTTTTCCAAGAGGTTATACGGATGGCCTTTAGTATGTACATATGATTGGTGTTGCGGGTTTGGGAAGTCACGTGGGATACTCTATGTTGAGGTCGAAGGCTCGAAACGGACTACTCCGTAGCCGCGGGTACATTTCATTGGATAGACAGTGGACACCGCCTGGACCCTTATCAGATCACGTGGCTATGGATGACGTGGATTATCCAGCTAGGAAATCCACGAGCTGCTTTGAGCTTAGTCAAATTTAATTGAGTGCTCTTTTGGCGCTAACCATGGGTCGCCTGGGCCATCTTTATTTCACCACATGCGAATGGAGCCGACAGGGTGCAACAAACAGGTTCTTGGCTAATATGACGCGTGTTCTAGTCCTTGGCTGTGTGTACCTTCGTCAAGTACATCGATGTATACGGCAGCTGCTTGCAGGATCTGCCTAAAAAGCCGAACATGATGTACGAAGTACAACAGCTTATGCATTGGAAGGTCGCACAAGCGACATGACGCTCAGGACTCAAGTGGGTCGTGAAGTTGACCAAGGCTTGATTCTGGCCGCTGAATGGCTCGGCATTTCTTGCTGACCTGCTTTTGCAATATAATATCTCCGGGACAAAACCAGCTAACCACCAGGAGCTAACAGATTTGAGCATAGTGGCTGGAGATGTTCCACCACTCATTGGCAAGATACCTTATCAGAATACAAGCAATGCAAGGCAGGGCCCATCGTTACATGCGCAGTAAAAGGTCCAACCGTGAAATACATCATAACCCGTCCGTTGACGCAACCCTAATGGATCAGCACTCCGGATTGCCTCTGATTAGCCGCCAGTGGATCAAAGGGCCCTCTTGGCCCTCCTTACCCTGCTTTTTTTTCCATGTTTCGAACACTGTCAATCTCCTGAAGATCTACAGGAGGTGTCTTTGTCTTGTCACCTCTCAACTGTTCAATTAATTCTTGGACTCACAGCAATGGCCTGGGACGCTTTAGAACGATCATAAACTGATTGGCGCAATATGATCCAGTTATCTTCCGACCTCGGGTTGAAGGTCTGTGTGGGGTGAGTATCTAGCAAGCTATCTCACATTGTTGGAGACTTAGGCTCATGATCGCATTCTATGGGCAGCATATTTCTTTTAAGCTCGCTATTCCTTACTACCTCCTATAATACCACATACGCTTTTGGTGAGTCGTCGCCGTGGATATCAATGTCTCTACAACTTGATCTGACTGTTGCGCCGGTATAGATCGCCCCATTAGTACATCAGTTCTGGTGTGTTTCCTTACGGGGGCCACTATTTTGGTATGGAGTCGGTTCGTCTCATTGGGGTCGGCGCCATCGTCGCCGACAAGTAAACGGCCTGTTATCCCTCTCGCGGAACAATTTGAGCTTCCTTCCCGCGTCTCAACCTCATCTTTTCTACTGGGTGATGTCGAGACTCGCCCTCGGTTACGGGTCCAATCGTGGTGGATAAAGCTCGGTCTCTTATTGGGGTTGTGTGGCTTGCGAATCGAGTCCTTCCGCCAAGTAACTCGAAACACTGAATGCGCGCCTGCTGGATACGCTGTAAGTGGCCGAATACATTGGTTATCATTCAATTTCTCATGCGACTAATACGGCGTCATGAATAGTACACTATTCCTTTCGTTATTTCGCTCTATGACTACTGGCGCAACCATCGATCGCGACAAGTGGACAGATATGTCCCCACCCAGCGATTCGACAAGCCGCCGCTACAGGTGGTATACTCCCTTTCACGCCGGAGCTTCTATTATCTCACGCAAAGCCGCTCCAGAGGCTTAATTGCAGCCGCATTCTTGTCGACTGGTGGGCTCTTGGCTTCATCGTTCTCGGCTGGAACCCGGTCAACCTATATCTGTCCTATTGTATCAAATGGTGCATCGCACCTACGATCATATAGGCTGTTCAACCTCTTTGCTGATTCTGTCATACTTATTGGTATTACCGAGCTATGCCGGATTGGCACTCAATTTGATGATGCGCGCAGAAAACGAACTTTAACGTCCCTTGGAGCTGGTCTCTTGGTAAGCAGACGAGTACGATCGTGTGGGGAGTATTTTTTCTGATGGTCTTTCTAGGGTCTTTCTTTGGTCTGGAGTATTATATCCATCTGGGTACCGGATAGCTCGCCTGAACTTGCAGGTCAACCAATGTTGGATCTAGAGTATTCGCGCGGCGCTTTCAGCCAGTCTGTGTTGGTTGTAATACTGGTATTGTCGGCCTGGCATATTGTTGGTCCTCCCAATTATCTATACTCATCTCTCTGCCAATACTGATTTCTTTAGTTGCCGCATTTCGACATCCTTGGGGTGTCAATTATAGGCGGTTTCATGATCGTATACTTTTCCTCTTTATCGGCTCTCACTGGACAATCACCCTTCCCATTTATCTCTCTAACTCATGCTGTTCTCCCGTTGGCGGCATCTTTAACGGGTACCCTCTTGTTTCTTCTTACGCGAGTGGTTCATGACGAAGAGCCGAAATTATATCGCACCAACGTTGCCATACAAATATTGTTTGCCGTGCTATGTGGGATTAGTCTCGTTTTTGCAGTGAGAAAGCATCGCCTTGATAATATACACCCGATTGAGTTCCTCATAAAGGATGGTGGAATTCACCATCACAACTATCTCGCTCAGGCGTCTAGGAGCAAGACTCTTGGCGACGCTGTCACCGAATACCAGAGGCGATATAATCAGCATCCACCACCGTAAGTTTTGAATACCCATGCGCACAACTCAACTAATCTTTGTCTAGGGGCTTTGGTGAATGGTATCAATATGCCACTGCCCAATCGTCAGTTATCATCGATGATTTCGATCAGATATACCATGATCTACTTCCCTTTCGAGCCCTGGCTCCGGAGCACATCCGTGCAATGACACACGAACTAGCCACAAACCCTTTCAACGATCTCGGTGGGATCAGAATTCGCAACGGCACGGCCATGGTGCAAGAAGGCATAAAACCGACCCATGCGTGGATGGTGGCGGGTGCCGCGGAAATGATGAAGAATTTCACCAAATATCTCCCGGATATGGACTTGGTATTCAATCTGAACGATGAACCCCGTGCTGCAGTTCCCTGGGAGAAAATATCAATGCTGAACCGGCAGACTGGGATGCAAGCAATGATCCCCAAAGAGCGCATGGTGCAGACATGGTCGAACAACCGAGAGGAGGGCTGGGACCCGATTGAACCGGCCGATCAAACCAACATTACCGTATTCACTGACGGAGCGTGGAGGGGTGTTTTCGACCCTTATGTGAGCGCTGTCTGCCCGCCGTCATCGAAGGTGCGCTCTCAGCGAATCTGGAACCGTCGTGATATCTGTCTCTCATGCGTGGCTCCCCATTCCATGGGTCAATTCCCCCTAGATTTCAACATCGCCTCCGAAATCTGCCACCAACCTGACCTTGCCTTCCTCCATGGTCTCCTAATCTCCCCGGCCTCCTTCAAGGTGTCTCAGGAACTCATTCCGGTATTCAGCCAAAGTGCTCTCACCGGATTCAACGACATCCTCTTCCCAAGCCCATGGAACTACATCGACAAGGTGAAATATCAACCGACAGACGAATACCCGGATCTGGACTTTGGCCAGAAAGAGAACTCTCTATACTGGCTCGGCAGTACATCAGAAGGCGTCAGCCGCTTCGGTGAATGGAAAGGCATGCCACGCCAGCGCTTCGCCCATCTAATCAACAATAACACCAACAACCAAGTCTCCGTCCTCCTCCCAGCAGACTCAAACGAGAACTCCTTCCGATACGAGACAATGGACGGCAGCGCCCCGACTGCAGAGCTACATCTCCAAACCGCTGTCCACCTCGCCGACCCAATCGTCCGCTGCGGCGACTGCGACGAACAAGCTGCAGAGCTGGGCACCGCAGGCTGGGCAGACTTCCAAGCACACTGGTCGCACCGCTTCCTCTTCGACCTCGATGGCGCAGGCTTCAGCGGCCGCTTCCTCCCCTTCCTACACAGCCACAGCCTGCCCCTTAAAACAGGCCTGTTCCGCCAGTGGTTCGACTCCCGTATAACCTCATGGATGCACTTTGTGCCTGTTGATATCCGTCTCCATGGCCTGTGGAGTACGCTTGCATACTTTGCGGGCGTGCCTGCTGCCGTATCCGAGGAGAGTGATCCTAATGCACACCCGAAGATGCGCATGAAGGCGCATGATCAGCAGGGGAAGTGGATTGCGGAGGAAGGGCGGAAGTGGGCGAATACGGCGTTGAGGAAGGAGGATATGGAGATCTACTTCTTCCGGCTGCTTTTGGAGTGGGGTCGGCTTACGGATGATCAACGCGATGTTCTTGGGTTTAGGGGGTGAGGTTAATCTTAATGTTAATATGACTGTTAATTGGTACATATATTCAAGTATATATTCTTGTCTTGTCTTATTCATTCCGTGTATCATTTTTGTTAGATCTATAGATGCTGAAGTTTATACTCTACGTTGTATATCCATCGAAGTCTGCTCAGCACTTACAGCTCAGAAGAATTATATACAGAGCATAACCATGCTTATGATTGTTATTGCCCATTTTCATTCCATCATCAAGATGGAAGAGATATTCATAAAGTCATCATAAAGAATAAAGCATAAAGCGTATCAAACGTGCTCGTCCTCCCACAGCCGTGGACCAGCACAGGCCATCGGAGCCCAGACGAGTAAAGAGACCGTAAAATGAACGAATATCAAGAAACAGGCTGAAAAAAGGGGGATATTTACAATCGAAGATCACTATCGAAATGCAAAACAGATCGAACCCATATCACTTTCAACGCAGAAAACAATCCATCCATTAGGATCAGCATCAGCATCAGCATCAGCATCTAAGCATGGCCATGCCTATGATGATTGTGCTGCCGGCGATGTCTCATAGAACCCCTAGGCACAGAGCGCTCATACGACGCCGTGGAATCCCAATCAGCATCCACCTCCTCATCGTCACCCTCAGCACCACTCGTGGAGCTAGTCAAGTCCTGATATACCTTAAGCGACCGCACACTCCAGTATGTCTCCTGGAAAGCCGTGGGATTATTCTGCACGAAGTCGACACACGATGCGGCATAACTGGCACAACTCGACGAACCCCAAACCGAGCCCGCCCAGTCTCCACAGAAGGTAATATCGAACACGATCTGCAGATCGTTGAAATGCGAGTCGATGTCGCAGCCACCGGAAAAGAGTGCTGTGGGCGTGCCCCAGCCCGCCGGGTTTGGAGTTCCCGATGAAATATCAGCCGGCACGGCGTAGGAGGGGAAGGACCAGACTGATATGGCGGAGCCGGTCCATTCGGTGGCGTAGACGCCGCCGCCAACGTTGTTGAAACCTGTGCCGTAGGACTGGGTGCTGTCGCTTTGGATTGAGCAACCGCTATTTGAGGATTGGCCGCTGGCTTGGACGTAACAGTTTGCTGTGTCGAGGGTTCCTGTGAAGCCGCCGTTGTTGATTGTGCAGCCGTCGCTGGTGTGCAGGGTCATTTGATTTTGGGTTTGCTCGTTTACGCCTTCGATTATGTCGATTTCGCCGTTATTGGGCCAGTTAGAACCGAGCATCCAGCTGGAAGGTGTTAGCGTTTTTCTTTTTCCTTTTTCCTTTTCTGATTAATAAGAAGGGTTTGCGGCTGGGGTTCTCACAAGGCGGGCCAGGTGCCACATGTGCTGCTAGGCATATGGGCCAGATCGAGAATAACAAGACCATGTTTGTAGGTAGTGGTACTTTCCAGGCGGACGCTCTGGCGGCCAGGCGTACTGGCGGTGTTGGAGTGGTCAACGCCGATGTAGATGCCGTTGCTCGTGTCGATGAGAGCGTTGCCCGATGCGGTGTTCCGGTCGACGTAGCTCACAAAACCATTGGTGGGGTCGGTGTCCTATATATAAGATGAGTTTGTTATGAGACAAGAATTTGGGACCAATGCCGATAGACATACCGTGTAGAAGTTGAACTTGTCAAAAAACGAGTCGGAGGTACCATAGTCATCGCGTAGGGTGTATGCGGCGGAAGATACCTGCGCTAACAAGCCCACAGTGGGCAGGAGGGCCGAGAATCCGTGCATTATGCTTAAATGATAGGGGGTTTGTAGGATGTTTGTGAGGAGAAAGAGGGATTGGAAAGAGAGCGTCTGTCAAAGACTGGGAAAGATCTAGTATCCCAGATACTGATCAAAATGGCAAGGAACAATAGAAGGAAAGGAATGGATACAAAATAACAATAGAGAGGGACAATAGGCCTAGGCACAATAACATGCACAATGGATTGATCGATGCTTTATACAGGGGAGAGGGACCACCTTTATACCTCAGACGCCTCCACTCTCCCCAGGAAAATAATGGTAAACGGGATAAAAGAAAAGTGAAAAAAAGAAGAAAAATGAATGGAACAGCGTGATACATCCACCAGACACTCTAATCGAAGACATGCGGTAAAAGGGGGCATGTTAAAACATCTAATCAGTCTGACACCTCCGAGCCCTGTATCAATGCTGTCAGTAAATCATTTCGATCTTGCCGATTGAACCGGTCTATTCTGTAATGTGCTCAAATTGACATTTAGGGTAGGATAGCAAGCAACAACGTACAATGTCCACGGGTACACAATATAGTAGTTTATTCACCTTTAACCGTATCGGATCCATGGATATCTCAAGCGCTAAACACCAACCTTAAGTGTTTCGGATTTGGAGAAAGAAAGGAGAGAGTAATGAAACTAACCACCAACCAAAAAAAGTGAGTACCGCCAACATCTAAGGTTTGCATAGTAGTAAAGGGAAGAGAAGGAAGATGATAGGTCAACAGCTGTTTGAAGACTCTCGGCCATCAAGCTTTTTTGGGCTTTTCTTTCTTTGTTACCGGGAATTTTTGTCAGGCGATTCTTCAGCAAGTGAAGAGTCAGACTCGAGAATCTGAGGAATAAAAATATGAAGTGGCGGACTCAAGTGGAATTCGTGAACATCACCAGGTCTCTCTGCCATTTTGAGGTACTTAGACACAAGTACCAACACATACAGATATACCAGTGGCAGTACATATTTTCATGTATCCCCCGGTACATGATCAGTGCTCACGGAGATCCTACCCAAAACTGATATCAAACACAGCAGTGAAATGACAGTGTCATCCCAAGATTCATCCCGGCCTTATACACCATCTATTGTAGATCACTACCAAAAGCAAAGAGCATTGGACCCTCTGGATCAAAATAACAATCATAGAATCCACCTGGAAGAAAAGCCGTGCCATATCAGTGTTCCCGCGAACCCCTGCAACGGGACCGAACAATAATCAGAGGAGTAGAAATCTCTATTCGATCACATTGAGAGTACAGCTGAGCGCATGTGGGAAATGAGCTGAACAGCTGAAGCAAAGAACATCACCATTCGTATCACCTGTTCCGACGGAAGACAGACAAGATTAGCACGGATGACTATGGCAGGGATAGACCTGGCTTTAATAGCACATTATATTACGGTCAGTTGGGAGTTACAAAGAGTGGGGGATAAAAAGAAGGAGCATGGCTATATGCAAGACAAGATGATCCTCATCTAGGGATATTCCCCGAACAGCATCTAAAGTAGGCAAAAACAAAGAGATAGGAAAAAAAAAGTAACAAAAGAATACCCCTAGACACAAAGGAAATAATCATTCCCGGTGTCCCCCGAAAACTATGTACAGGCTGGGCAGAACAGCTCGGCCCCTGACCAGTCGGGCAAATGGTCGCGCCGAAACGCGGTTTCAGCGGGTCGGGCCCCCGCGCTGACGGCGTCCAGCACGCAGCGTCGGTGGTAGAGGTGTCGACAGGCGAAAACCACAATGGGTTCTGGGGTACTGGCTATGACTGAAGTCACGGTGCTAGAGCTAGCTCCATCCTCGGCGTGGTCGTGATCATGGTCACGATCATGGTCAGCATTCGCATCGGATATACCACCATCGCGAGCGCTATGAGTATGCGCATGCGCACGCCCCGCATCCAGACGGGACGGATGGCCGACTCCGACATCAGCAGCCTTGCCCTTCCCGCGCTCGGACGGGTCATAGCTATCCTCATTGCGTCTCGCGATGCGGTGGGAATAGGCATCGGCGCGTCGCGCTTCCCATGCGGACCAATGCGCGTCACCAACACTCGGGCCCCAGATGCGACGGCGGCAGAGCTCGCAGATGTGGCCACGGGGCCGCCAGCCGTGCTGGCGTAGACGGGTGACTTCGTCGACGTGGACGAAGAGGTCGCGGTCCAACATGCCGTTTGCGAGGGTCAGCAGGGATTTCTCGTAAGAGTAGGCGGAAAAGATGGATGCTAGCACGGCGCGCAGCTCGAGGAGCGAGGGCGACCAGGTTGCGGCGCGGCTCAGGAATGCGCGCAGGATGCGTAAGAAGGACATGTCTGTTCTTTCGGTTGTGGCTGGGCTGCTTTTTACTGTGCTTGCTAGGAGAGCTGTGAAGACTTGCTGGACGAGGGTGCGGAATGAGGTTGTTAGGCGGCCGCTTTCGCCGGTGAGGGATGTGGTTGGTTGGGAGGGGGAGGGCTATTTGGGGGTTGTTTCCTTGTATGAAGGCGAAGACGTTGCTTGCGATGCGCACCACGGCTTCAATGTGGTCGAGCCAAAGGAGTTCTTCAAACGTTAGAGGCTGATCGAGAGTTGGCGCGTTGCGTTTGCCGTTGGCGCTGCTTGTGCGCGACTGCTTGACTGTCTTACTTTGGCCCTGACAGAGCCACGTTCCGACACCTGCATACTTGTTCAGAGACTCCATGAGGTCGTCGATTTCCTCGGCGGTAGTCGCTGAGTCGGGGCTCTCGCGCACGCTCTGGAGGATGCCTACCAGACCGGATTCGAGGGTGTTCAGGTGTGCGACAAGACGGTCAAGGGCCTCGCGGACTTTACCCTGTCGGGCGAGGAGAATGACGGCAGCATCGATAGCTCCGCTTTCCTCAATAAACGGGAGCAGTTCATCTAAGCGGATGTCACCGACTCGCAATCCGTCGACGAAGTCCGCCACATGAGAGGGGTTATATTTGCACAAGAGCTGCACATATCGCTCGATCATCCAGTTCTCAATATTGGGTGAAGATTGGGTGTCCGCGGTCTGAGCCTGCGGCTCGATGAGCACCAGCAAGTACTGGTACTGTTGCTGGGGATCATCTTGCAAAACCCGCAAAAACGTAGAGTGTGTTTCAGGGGCCAGGTCTTGCATCGTCTGTGCAGCGTGCGTCACGTCAATCGAAGCGATCTCCCGGGCATGCTCCTTGACTACATCCACGATACCACGTCTCTGTTTTTTTCCAAGCCCAGAGCCTGGACGGAGGCAGTCATGCAGACAGGTGAAGATAGCATCGCGATCACTTGGATCCTCTAGGTAAGTCATGACCAACAGGGGATATTGCTTCTCTAGACGGTAGACCGACTTGAGAATCCGGAAGAATCGTGCCTCCTTGAATAGAGGAATCATGCTCTGCATGTCCGGTGGGTGGTAAAAAGACAGCAGATATTCTGCACTCAATTCGCAATCGTCTGCCATTTCCTGATCGGGATATTGGCATACACGGACCAGAACCTGGTGGAGGGTTGTGCCAGAAAGGAGGATATACTGTGGATATTTTGGCAGATTGCGCGCAACAAACATATCAAGGTATATGGTATCAAAAGGCGTGAAAAAATCGGCGGTCATGACTTGCAGCAAAATGCTGATGAGGTACTGTCGATTGATCAACATGCCGGACGCGGAGACATCCTCGCTCTCAGGCTCATTTAGGAAGCTATCCTCGAATGCTTCATTGAGCATGCTCATGAAGCTGGAAGCGTCAAACTTGAGCATGGCTCGAAGTTGAGAGAAGGAGTCTGCCCCGCTGGTGTCTCTAGGTACCGTACCGGACGCACGACCCGAGAAGAGGAATTGGTACAAATCTGTTTTGGCTCGCATGGCTTCAGCCTCATCCATGTCGTCTCCGGTGGGATAGATGCGACCCGTTAAGATAAATGACAAATAGGGGAACATTTTCATCGCATTGTTCTGCCGTCTCATTTCAATCACATAGTCGCCGTTGGCCAAGGGCTCGGATTGTGAGGGAATCAGATGTAGTAGCTCTTCTAGGGGACCCACATAATCCATTAGACAGCGGTTCCATACATATATAAAGGCGTCGTAAAGATTGTGCTGCTTACACAGCGTTGTGACTTGATCGATGTCCATCGTAGTAGTGTCAAGAAGGCAGATGATCTCCTCCAATCGACCGGTCGAGTGAGTTCCAATGAAATGGTTGATCAAGGCCTTAACCGCGGTCGGGGGTAGTGATCGCAGAGTCCCATCAATGATGCGCGGTTCGAGTGCATCCAGGAAAATGCCCGCCGAATCTTGCTCCTCATACCAGTTGAAGACTTCTTCCCAGAGGAACTCTTCGTCAGCCATGTAGATACAAGCCGCAATAGAAACATCGGCTAGCTCCTCTAGCTGCTGGTTCTCCAGTCGGCCGTTGCTTGCTTCGTAATTTCGACCAAAAGCATACTTGAGGGAGGCGGAAATCATTTCCAAAAGCCTTTCTTGCACAATGGGCTGTCTCAAAACATCCTCTTCAGGAAGCCCAACCGTCAGCTTTTCTGACTCTCCCGTATAGTACGAGGTTGCTAGTCGAATGGCCCCAATGAAGTCACCAGCCTCCATAAGCGCCAGCAAGCGATCGGCCCAATTTGAGAGATTGCCTACCAAGGCTTCATTATAACCAAGCAAGAACAAGCGCCCTTTATAAGAACGAAAACTCATATGGAATGCATCTGCTACCACTCCGTGCATCGACTCGTCCTCTTCGTCAAACTGTTCAACCAGTGAATGGAGTTGTGACGAGAAGAGATCGGTGTGATATATATGTCTGTTGGCGAGATCGACCGAGTCGGTCACATGCATGGAATAATCCTCGATAATTAGCAGCCGCTGCGTTATTGTGAAGACTGCGAGTACCGAGCGACTGAGCCACTGAACAGCCACAATGGCTTCATCTGCTCTCCATCTGCTGCGTGCTCTGAAGACAAGACTGGGGGGTTTGTCCTTGTTTGCAGGTTCGTCTGACTCGGCTTCTGAGACTTCGAGCACGGTCAGCACATTTGACCAGCAGTAGACAAGTTTTGTGTTTGAAGTTTGGGTGTCTTTGCCCTTCAGTCGAATTGCCGGAAACCATGCCAAGGCGCCAGTCATGGCACTGTGAGCGGGAACTTCCTTTGGTCTCGGTGCTTTGTGTTGGGTTTGTGCCACGGGTGTGGTGGACACAATAACAAGAAGATAGGGTGTCAGCATAGCAACGAGGCCCAACGAATCAGTGGATTGCTCTACGTTGCCCAGTGGCAGAGGAGAGAAAGCAAGAACAGAGCTAGGCTTACGCCGCTTGATATCTGTCGTTGCCTGAGGATATCGACCCAGAATTCGAGTCGTCTTGACTGTTCTCCCCACTGCACCCATCCCTCTTGTTGCCAGGTGTGAGAACGACATGCCCCGTGTGTCAGCCGAGACCAGCGCGGTTCGCCTGGTGCCGAGAAAGCCGATATGAATGACCGCAGAACCTGAAAGATGGCCATCGGATATTCGAGTCTCGACTTGATTGGCCGGAATTGGCGGGATATGAAGGAAAGGCTTTGCCGAGCGCGAAATCTCCCAGGTAAAGATATCGCCAGAGTCATGGCCCCCTGCAACGGTAGAGTGATCGGCGGAAAGTGCCAGTGATGTAACAGCACCGCATTCAACAGCTAGGTAAATCATCAGTACAATGCGCCAGAGGTGTACACGTCTTTTGACAAACCTGGTGTGCCCGTTCCAATAATAGTCTTCAGACTTTGCTGATAGTCAAACACGAGAATAATACCCTTGGATGTACCTATTACAATCGACGTGGAGACTGCAAGGCAAGTTGGTCGTCCGAAATTGCGCTTCCCGATTTCAGAAAACGCTTGCCCAGTGATTTTCCGAAGCTTTGTCCATCGCACCACATCCCAAGGCCCCTGTAGCGGTTCGGCTTCTGTTTCTGGGGTCGGGGAGACCTGGCTGGTTATTGAAGACTGTCTGGAGTGAAGATGCGCTAGGAATGGCGAGCCGGCTCTAGATAAACTTTGCGGCGATGAAGATAATCGGGACTGAAAGCGAAGGTCAAAGGGGCGACGGGCCGGGCTTGGGCTGACTCGCGGAGATCCGCGGAGCGCGAGAGCACTGCTATCCAGAGAGGACTGAAGAGAGCCCTGTCATCAATCAGCTAGCTATCCAGGTTATGCGCCAATTGTACCACTAACATGTAGCGATGGGGAATCGTCGGGGTTTGACCCTGTTCCATCCGCGCTCCCTGACGCGGTCCAGTCCGCGTGTCGCGGCGGAGGGGTTTCTGGGAAATTGAAATCATTATGTCCCGCTGTTTTCTCGGAATCGTGGTTCCCCGCTTCGTCTATCGTGTCCAATTCCTCTTCCACTGGTTCCTGCGGGGAAGGTAATGTTTGATCGAGGGCACCATGGTCGGGTTGTCGGTGATCGCCTTCGTGGCCTAGGTCAAGCTCGTCTTCGCGCGACCAACCCTCACTGCCCTCAGCCATCGAGCTCATGAGCGAAATCTCCGAATGACCATTGCTCCCCGTTACGCAGCCTAGGTGGAGACGAGGCCGAATCAGCGATAGCGTGTTAGGAGAGAACGATCGTGGAATTGATCAGAATGTTCTCTCGGAGAACAGGAGGGGAATTATGAGGTACAATAAAGAGAGAAGGAGTGGAATGTCGAGCTTGGGGGTATGAACACAGTGGAGAATGAGAGTTCAGAGCTCCGTTGTCTGGGTCGGGCCCGTCTTAGGGGCCGAACACCAGCCACAAGTGGCTGCCAGGTACTTTTCGTGCTTTCACAATTATGCGGACAACGATACTCAAAAAAACACTGACACATGGACTCTCTGTCTTTAATCTATTCTCTGGTAATTTTCTGCCTTGAACTGTCGAAGAATATTTGAGTAGTAAGGTGGTTACACATCTTTGTGCAAGCAACATTGAACCAACATTGAAGATAGAGAGTTTCTCAATATGAAAGCTACAAATGAGTGCCCTCGTATTTTATCACGGCTATTTAGCTCTTTTGATAAGTGTCACCCTTTTTTACACTGCTTGGGACCGATATATGGAACATCTTACTATAGTCTCTATCTTGATTCTCTGTGTTATAGCCATACGAAAAGCAGGTATGGGGTATGCACAAGCTTGATAGCCTTTCATATACACGTACTTATCTCACATCGTAACATGCTGATGAAGAGTATGTAAAGTACTTGAACACAGAAGCTTTCCCGAAAAGAGTATAAATTCGTTGAAAACAAAAAACTGGCCCTATATCGTAATGTGTCAAAATCTAACTAATATAACCCGAAAAATAACAGCTCGACTGGCCTAGAATTTGGCGTGTCTAGAGGTTGTACTAGAAGTTGAAGCCCACTGGAAGAGGGGGTCGCTCGATAGACACTCCGTCGCCGCCCGTTCCAAAATCCATCGCAATCTCCAGCATGGATATGGCGATGCAGAATCTGACGGAAGGTTAGGGAGTATCCAACAAAAGCCAGCAGCTGTATCGAAACGAAGGTCGAACAACTGAAGGTCCCCGAGTGGCCCAAAGTTCATATAAGGCGATGCTGATTTGATATCAGATACAAGAAAATTCACCCCCCACCCAGGTCCGAATGAACCCCAATCACGTTCGCGGGACATTGTTGCGATCGCGCCCTGTGCATACTGCTTGTCTAGATGTCCCGATGCTTCTTGAAGAGCCTGGGCAACGTTGCAGATCCGCCAGATATCTTCCGGCCCTACCAAACTGAGAGGCTTTGGCACATGAATATTTTGTAAGGCATCAGACGGAGGATGCGAAGAGCCTTCACACATGCTTTGGGCGACCGCGATAGCATTGCCGATATACCCCCGACGTACGTCTAGTGCCCTTCGAATATTTTCCACGGTGAACATCTCGGATGAGAGTCCCTGCTGATCAGGGAAAGCCCTCAGGCGGGCGCGACTGCTACGTATGCCCAGTAGCGCGCTGACGACCATACCCGGTCGAAGAGACATATCGGGAAGATCCTTCCTATATCTCTCAGGAAGAGACTGTAATGCCGAGTTGCAGGCGTCGTGCAGCATTTGTATCTTTAGGCCATCGAGTACACGAAGAGAACTGATGGGTACTCGACTATAATCTGTGGATACCTCGTCTTCGCTTGTTGGGGCAGGAAAAGTAGTCCATTGAAGATTCTGGGGTGTGCCTGTAGATTCAATTTCCTTGATATGCTGCCTTATTTCTTCTTGCGCATGTGGAGTTGTGGGTGGTCCCTGGGCATTTGGATCACAACAGAACGCGGCGAAAGTAGAGACCAAAAGAACAAGGCCTGACCCATCCATTTTTTTGTGGTCAAAGCACCAGAACAAGTGCAACTTGTCTCCGATCACATTAGCCTTCAGCCGAAGCACGGGAGAAGGTTTACGTGGTGGGTGAACGATTGGGAACGGCATCAAGGCAGTGTTGAACTTCCCATCCACGGTAAGAGCGGTGGGCTCTATATGATGCTGAACGACCAGGATAGGGCACTCTTCAAGCTCAGCAGCAGTAGCAGGCCGCACTTGAAGTACGTTGCTTCTACCATCCGTCCGGGTAGATGATACCACCATCCCAGCCAGGAAGGGAAATTTTGCGACCACACGAGCCATTGCATCCTCCATTCGCTGGAGAGCCTGTACACGATTCTTGCCAGCCAGATCAAATGTGAGAGATATATTGAAATGCCCTGTAGGCGAAAAATGGTCCAATGAAGTAAGGTTATAGGGTTGGAACATGTTTGCGGGAGCTCAAGAATATGCCAAATTGTAATGATATAAAGCAAAACGATAAAAAGGATGTGAAATCTCAATCTGATACTTATATAGATTTCAAAGACTCGAGATTTGGACTATTCATTCGAAATAACTCGCCACATATGTACTTGAGTGATACTATCTACTTCGTACTACACTTCTCATGCAGGGCATCTGCAAGTGAATGATAGTCCACTTTTGTGTCACCCCAAGGTCAATAAGAAGGATATTAATATAGAGGCGCTCAGATGATAGCTATTAATCTTGTAGCATTGACACCGAATGTCTTTTTGAAGATATGCGCTTGGTTTCTAATTCTGTGCTGGTGCATTTTAGCTTTCCTGTACATCTGCATGATGAGATAACTTGTATTACAATTGAACCTGATCGGTACTCCATGTGGAGTACTGCATGAACATAATCTCTGATTCTCTACAACATCACGTCGATCGGCGATTCCCAACAAGCGGTGTTAATGCAGTGATACGATATGAAGGGCCCAAAAAGACACACGGCATAAGACCATGTAATCTTTGGAGGCACATAACTTAATTCGGTTTGCCAATGGCCATTTGTATCTTCAAGGGGAAACGTTGTGTGGCTATCTAGCACAGCCTGATAGCGCTGAATCCGATCTCGGGAAGCAAATGTGTCAGATTGGTAAGAATAAAAACGAGAAGAAGGAAAGACTCAGTAGTGCCAAAGGTATGCCGAGGACTATAAATGAATTAATTAATTCTGAATGTGACGGGGTAGTTATAGTATAATGTGGGATATTTTGCTCTTCGCAACACCATATAAATCATCGAGCATTGGCCTATGTTAATGACTATGAACCTCGATATTGTCTTTATAGGTATCTAATTTCCATCGATTATGCAATGATCCCAGTCTCATCCAAGCAGCGATTATCGATGTGTACTGAAGTCTGTCGTACTATCGCCTGAACTTACCCTTACCTGTAAAGCAGGTATTAGCGAGATATAATGTAACAAGTTTCCTTACATATCTCAAATCGCTTGTGTTTACAGAGAATTCTCTAAGATCAAATATCTGGGGCACACGCTGGGGCCGGTTATTGGTGCATGACTGCGGTCACGAGGAGACTGGGATATTTATGGTCATGTTCTGCTACTCTATCACTGGAGGTATCGACGTGATTATAGTCAGTTTCGGTTTCTTTTCTTTTTGCTTTAGGGTTCTCATTTGGTCATGGACCGGCATGGAGTGTATGTAGGAATAGGCATGAGCATATCACCTTTGCAGGGGCAGCTGATAATCATCTCGCGGGGGCAGCTGTTGCTCCTGCGTGACCGGGAACAGTAGTTATAAATCACGATGTCTGCGAGGACAAGAAGAAAGTCTCGGAATAAAAGGCGAAACAGCGCGCCTTCTCGCTCAGAGCCAAGTATAGTCCAAAGCGACCTTGAACACGATGACCAAAATCCACCAGAAAGTGAAATGTACAATGCTGAGTACTCTCCTGCTACTTCAGCCTGTGCTTGCAGTGTCAGAACCAGGAATACTAGTACCGCGAGCATCTGAGTCTTCAGTAATCTCCTCGACCACTCCTTCGATGTCAACCCTAGCTGTGACAACCTGCAATGGCCGCTCAGAGTACTGCACCCGGTCCTACTCGAATATCACATTCGTAGGCTCCCACGACTCTGCCTTTGTCGGACCCTTACCCCAGCAGAACCAAAACATCGATATAAAAGCCCAACTTGACATGGGAATCCGGTACCTGCAAGTGCAAACACACCGCTCCATCCTTGACGGGAACATCATAGAGCTGTGTCATACCTCATGCTTGCTCGAAGATGCAGGAACACTCAAATCATTCTTGACGACTATAAAAGACTGGCTGGATACAAACCCGAATGAAGTTGTTAGTCTCCTCTTGACGAACGGCGACTCAATCGCAATCACCGAATTTGGAGACACTTTCTCTAGCAGCGGGATTGACAACTACGCCTACGTTCCCTCCGCAAGTCCGCTATTAATATCAGACTGGCCCACACTGGGTGACATGATATCCAGAGGAAAGAGATTGGTGGTATTCTTGGGTAAAAGCACCAATCACAAAGAGATAGGCTATACCTCGAGACTAAAAATTTTCAGACTACGGTGCCGATACTACAAAAGTAAACTTCATTCAAGACGAGTTCGCCTACTACTTCGAGACAGCCTATGACGTCACGGACTCCTTTTTCTCAAACTGCAGCATCGACCGACCCTCTGATACCGCTGCTGCAGGCCGTATGGGCATTGTCAACCACTTCCTTGATGTCGATATTTTCGGCATAAAGATTCCAGCTCGCCACAAGGCAGACACTACTAATACTGCAACCGGGCCTGGGAGTATTGGCGCTCAGGCGGGGCTATGCGCTAAGTTGTATGGGAATGCGCCGAATGTGCTGCTAGTGGACTTTGTGGATAAGGGGGATGTTATTACGGCGCAGAAGAATCTAAATGGGTTCTAGATCGGGATTTGGGGTCATGTCGTGCTATGATTTCCCATAAATATATATATCATTTAACGCTTGAATATATTGTAAGTTCATAATCATTTGTCTTGTTGGAGAAAGGTAGATAGACAGACGTAGTAAAAAATTCGAGATATGAAGGCAAGGGAGCGTCATCAAGTACACCCGAGAGCTTTTCTTGAGGGTTCTTCTTATATACACTTACTACTAGAACTCCATTGAATTGAACGGTAATGCCTACTATTATTGTCATTACTGAGAGAATGTCTGCACTGCTTCCAAATTTCGTGTAATTCGCAACTTATGAATGCAGTAGAAGAACACTGAACTAGCAATAAGAAAACCATCAAATAATCTATTAAGATAAAAAGTTGTACCTGCAAATAAAATAGCATCAAAGATCAGATATTGAAAGATTTGGATGAAACGGGCAAAAGATTCCCTTTGCTTAGATATCAGGGAAAGCAGTGGACAACACGAAAATTCTTGCCAAACACCAATCACAACCCACTAATCAAGCTCAGACTCGTCATAAGAGTGATCCGAATCAGATGAGGCATAGTGAGCGTACAGGTGGCGCATCAAAACATTCGGATCATCGTCGCGCACGGTGCTGATGAAACAAGGAGTCTTGCGGACCTCCTCGGAGACGTTGGCATATATTAGCTCGATTGCACAATCGCGCATGCGCTGGTACCATAGGTACAGATTGTGACTAGGGGATAGTGGCTGAAGCTCCGCAGTCACAGTAGGCCACACCGAGTGTTGGCGGAAGAGCAGGAGCATGGCGGCCAACCAGTATTCCCAGTTCTCGTTGCCAAGGAGGGAGGGTACTTCAATGGGGATGAAGTGTTTGTTGTGGGAAGTGTTCATGAAGAACCTCACATGCTTCGCGGTCCTGGCTTGCTCGGCTATGTTTTCAACTAGCGAGGGTACCGATGAGATATCATCGTCGCTGTCGCGGACACCGCGTGTGAAGATCAAGTGGCCCAGGTTGTCAGAGAATGTGCTGGAGACGGGATTGCTCGGTCGCTGGATCCTCGGATTGGCCTCGGGGATATCCTCCATTTTGACACTGAGAGGGGACGACTCTGTATCCGTGTTAGATAGGAGAAAGATCTATTTCCAACGTCCGTTTTGAGAAGAGAACGTGGGAGTGTTGGCGGAATTGAGACCAGGCTTGGGACAAGGATACAAGGTGATGTCGCCCTCAGTACATGGAAATAGATTCAGGGAAAGACTGAGATCATCGAGAAACTCACTTTTTGTGTTCTTTGTATTCAAGTTCGTTGTATCATTGGCGGGGGTAGCGGGAGACTCTGTAGTCTTGTTGTTAGAGGAAAGATAATACCAGTCCCAGCGTCCATTTCGGGAAACAAAGATAGGGTAGCCAGTGGGATCGGCAGTGGGAGCGTGGCATAAGGTAAAATAATCCCCGATACATGGCAGTAAGTTCGAGATCGGGCCTGGGACAGGAGTCATGTCAAAATTGTACTCACTCTCGTTCTCATCATTGGCGAAAAAAGCGGGAGTGGGAGAAGACACCTCAGCTTTGATCTCTGTACCAAAGACGTAAGGATTAGCGCTGTATTGTGTAGCATCATCGAAGAAAGCCAGAAGGTCTGTAAGCTGATTCCAGTACTCACTTGGGGTATGGGTTCCAGTAGAGGGCTCTGTCTTAGGCATTCCTGTCAGGGAGCTTTTGTTAGCTCTCTCTAGGATAGCCGATTGTATGCGTTTTTGCTTATTTGTAATGGGCGATGATGATAGATGAGGGGACAAAGCATGGGACATACCCTTCTTGACGCCCTTACGGGCGGAAGATTTGGGAGGCATGATGGTTGATAAGTAGGAAAGGATTTTGATGAAACTCAGAGATAGCAAAGAAGACAAAATTTTGGGGAAGAAGGATGCTTTTGAGGGGTATTTCGTTTGCTACGGTGAGAGCCGTTTGTAGGCAACTGGGGATTTTCTATATTCGCTGCTAGTAACCGGTAGATTCCATGAGGAAGAACATCCATATTACACAAAGCATAAGAGAAAAAAAAAGAGGTTATATTGTGATGATTCCATTGTTCATGTATAAAGTTGGACACAGCATAGAACTGTGAAGAAAGAGATAGCTATGAAACAAACCATCTGAGACATGACATGCAGAAGGCCCTCGTTTGCAGCAAACGAGCTTAAAACCGAGGATTATAATCCACAACAGGAATTGCTGTGTCATTCAAACTGACAGCGCCAGGGGTGTGAATCCCAGAGTACTGATTGAGCCATCCCAAGACCTGTTGATGCCAGACGAGACTGTTTTCCTTGTTGATGACCCTATTTAAATACCATATAATTAGTTCTATGACTCTGCGATAATGCATCCCATCCATCCAAAGGTCTCCATTATACTTACCAATGATTTTCATCGGGGAAACTAAGCAGCCGGCTTGGAACACCTCGCTCCTGCAAGACATTGAAAAGTGCCAGACCCTCAGAGATGGGAAGTCGAAAGTCCAAATCACTGTGGATAATGAGCTGTGGGGTGGCGAATTGTTTAATGTGCTCTGGAGCCGATGGATCCCATCGACGGTAGTTGTCTCGGTTGTCCCAGAACGTGCCATTGAACTTTTGAAGAGTTAGCATACAAACAATGAAAATGCCACGAATAAGATACATACCTCATGCTCCATAAACCATAGTTCCTCAGTCGAGATCTTTGCGTCGGCCACAAATGTGCCATCGTGGCTAGCCAGTGCCTTGAACTCGCGACCTAGAGGATTACCCTGGATCCAGTTGATCATGAAGCCACCGTAGCTGGCGCCAGCTGCCACTCCGCGGTCGGTATCAATAAAGTCGAAGTTGTCCCGGACATACTCCCAACATTTAACCAAGTCATCGTAAGGGTAGCTGCCTGTTGATCATTAGAAGGCGAGAATGAAAATGAGTGATGAGAATGGCATACCCCAATTGTTCGCGATCGCGTCTGTAAGTTTATCACCAAATCCAGTGCTACCAGTCGGATTGGGCGCGACAACTACATATCCTTGGTCGGCGAAGACCTTGTAGTTCCACCGAGTGCTCCAGGAGTCACCCCATGAACCTTGAGGACCACCATGAATAAAGAATAGAAGCGGGTAAGACTTCGACTTGTCAAAGTTCGAGGGATAGATGATCCAGGAATGAATCTACAATGTTAATATCTTTTCAGTTTCATGAAAAAATGGTAGACTTACATCTGTCCAGTTGCCCCTATAGTAGAACTCATCAACGTCTGATTGACCAAGGCTCTTCAGGGCCGGGTCAACTTCATTGGCGGAGAAGATAACACCCGTGATACCTTTGCCAGGCTTCGCGGTGTAAACTGTGCGGCTAGTATAGATAGCGGAACTAGAAACTAAATAGTCTCCATTAGGCAGGCCATAGTAAGCAGCCACTGCGCCACCGTCGGTGAAGTTCTTAGGCTCGAAATCACTACCAGCATTGGCGGGCAGCAAGAAAAGCCGAGAGCGTGCAGAGTCCTCGGTGTTCAGAACTAGGTTTTCCCCATCAGCAGTCCACTTGATTGCACCAGGAGACCGGTCCCAATTCCTGGCCAATGTACGAATAGTATTCTTGGAGCCAATGGTATAAACGTAGACAGTACGACGGTCCGACTCGTACGAGATGTCTTCCATTTGGAGATATGCAATGTGACGGCCATCTGGGGAAAAGACAGGACTACTCGAATCACCCTTGATGTCGTTCGGTGTACCAGGACTGTTTGGACCGTTAATAGCCACGGCCTTTTTAGATCCATCATGGGGCACAAGATAGATATATGAAGCAGTGTTGTTTGCACGTGGCAATTCAGGCGCCTTGCTCTTAAATGCAACCAATTTCCCGTTAGCGGAGATGTCATAGTCAGATGAATCGCCGAATGGTGGGTAGGGTGACTCAAGATTCTTCACTCCTGCGACGAGGTTCTTGAGAGATCCACTAGAAGTGTAGCGGGATGTCGCTCCATGTCCGGCTCTTTTCTTCTTCAGAGTCCCCGAGAAGATAGCATTGAATCTCGTCGTGAGCCAGGTATCCCAGTGGCGGACGTAAATACTATCGTAGATACGCGCCGAGCTTAGTGGCGTGGCAGCAAGCTCAGCATTGTACGCCGTGCCATTAGAGTAGGACTCTCCATACACCAAGAAGTTAATATCTCCAGACTTGGTAATGACCGTCTTGAGGCCAGAAAGCGGCGCCGGCAGTGAAGCTGCCTTGTAGGCACTACACAGAAGTTAGTAACGTTTCAGTCAAATATGTCATAGATAAACCCACGAGTAGGCGAAATTAGAGGTATCTGACACCCAAATCTCGGTACCTCCGGGAATCTCGGCATTCGTGCCGTTGATATATAAGAGACCCGAGTCAGTAGACCCTAGCCAAATCAATTCGGAGACATTGCTGTCATTGGTAAGCTGAGTCACTTTCCCAGTCTCCAGATCCAGCAGACTCCACCATGACGACGTAGCATGGGTCTCGAAGGAGTATTCAGAGGTGGAAAAGAGTGCGACTTCCTATGTTAGGTCAATAACATTGTCGATATCTACATACAATTGTGCAACTTACCCCTGATGGGTTGGGAATAGCCTCACCGCGTCTTGGAACCGCGATAAGCTGTCTACAAAAAAAAATCAGCAACCAACCAATAGGTACAACGAATGAATCGGGCGAGACCAGCACTGACTCGGGAGTAAGAGCTGCCGCAGAAACGATGATCGACCCAATGGCCGTCGTCAATTGAAACATGCGCATATCGACAATGAAGTATGTAACCACACAGCCCAAGAAAAATGTGCAGAGAGCCAGATGGGCTGCATTCCGGACCGACACTGAAATATAAGTGTTGCGACTCCACACGCGTTGTGAGCTAGTAGTAGCCATGGCGGAGCGTTGAAGGGGGGCATGTTACATTCCTCGGTGCCAAGAAAGATATGCATGATGTTATTTCGTGCTATCAGTTACTTCCAAGGCACTGGCAAGACGTGCTGCGGACAAAGAAAGGCGGGCGCAGGTCGACGTAGGGCCCGAGCAGGGTCCGGCTGCTTGGCTTGCAGCGCCAAGCATCGCGGAGTCCGCTGATAGCCCGCTGATAGCCGGGATTACCTATAGAATAAAGTCATGATATTGGATGCCGATCAGCAGGGGCTTTGACTTAGAAAGGAATAATTGGATTAAAAGTGAATTGATAAATTGGTGCCAACCGGTTGTCATTGCCCCGTGATGATGCACCCCATCTAAGCAATGGTGCCATTCTAGAAAATGCGTACGACTTGTCAAGGCCTTGATATCAATATCCAATGAATTTAATTACATTCGCTATAGTGCGCCTGACAATATCGCTTCAATATTCAAAGTCATCATCCACACCTCCCTTGCTAGTAGTGTCCTTGGTGACTGCTTCTTGTTTCCGATACATCTCTGCCACGGCACGGGTGGTAGTAGCCTCGTCTGGCTTCTTATCGTCGCGGGATTTCATATATCGCGGGAAACGCAGAGATACACCCTTTCCACCTCCGGTTGTTCCTTGGAACTCATCGGCAGCGGCTTGGTAGCGTGGGCTGAGGGTCAAATCCGCAGTTTTGACTTCCCACACCAGTCTTGGCTCAAACCAAACATCCGGTTGGTCCTTGGGGACGGCCGAGTGAGTGTAAAATGGCTTTGGGCGGTCAATTACCAGAGGAACTAGTGTCTGATGTAGCTCTTCAAGTAGCACCTCAGAGAAGCCAGTGCCGATGTTACAGATAGTCTCATATGTGTCGTTGTTGGGGTTGTAGGCAGCGAGAAGGAAAGCACCGTAAACCGAAGTACGTTTTCCACGACCATAGTAGGCCCCGAGTACAACAAGATCAAGAGAGTCACCAACACCGGCGAGGTAATCTTTTTTGACCTTTGTAGAAGTTAGCACGGTTGAAATAACCAACAAACAGAGGCACCATACCTTCAGCCAGTTGCGGCTCCGCTTGCTTGGCTCGTAGCCACTCTCTGCTGTGTCTAGCATCTTCACCATAAGACCTTCACAGGATGCCTTAACACTAGCCTCGAGCAATTCTTGGATCTCATCGAGAACATTGGAGTTGCCATACTGGGCAAACTGGAACTCCCCCTCAATCGGTTGGAAGCACTCATGCATAAGCTCTCGCCGTTCTCGTAGAGACTTCTTCACGCAGGGCTGTCGAAAAGTTAGCGAGAATAACTAGAAATGTGGCCCAAAGCGACTCGATGTGCCTCCTTTCTCTCTCATCATCCTCACCATAAACATGAAAGAACACCGAATCGCGAAGGAAGGAGAAGAGAGGAAGAGTGATCCAGCGAATCGCTCTTACATAGATATCAAATAGAATAATAGTCTTACCTCTCCATTGAAGAAAAGCAGATCAAAGGCGTACACGCAGACCTTGACCTTGACATCTTCCGCTTTGACATCCTTGCGCTTGCGGGTCATCAGTTGCTGGAATGGAAGAACCTTTTTGGCTTCGGTATCCCATGCGACAGTCTCGCAATCCAGAACAAAGCTCTTAACGTCAGCTTTGACCCAAGTGCCAAGCTTGCCTAGAACATCGGGATACTTCTTTGAAAGATCTTCCGAGTTGCGGGAAAATATTGAGGACAGCCCCTTGCTGTCTTTCTGCAATGTTTCCAAGGCTCCAGGATACTGGTGCATAGAATCTGGAGATACAAAATGGATTTGTGCTCTTTCTCCATCGTACTTGTATTCGCAAGTGAATTCCTTCCCTTCGAAACGGTCAAGGACCTCGGTGATAGACTTTGTCGGTTTGGCAAGCATAGGCTTGATAGGAATTCCGGGAGAAAGC